GAACATGTCAGAGGCTGACAAAATCACGCATGTCCTAAAAGGCATCGCCGACGATGCCTTCACCATGCTCCTGGCAAAGAACCCCCGCACTGTGGCAGAAGTCATCATGTTATGCCAAAGTTACGACGAGCTGCGGCGGCAGCGCTTGATGACCCGTCGACCGCCACCACGTGATGCTGATCTCTCGGCCTTGTCAGCAGTTCCTGACCACGCAACCTTGCTCGCCGAAATCAAGTCGTTTGTGCGTGAGGAAGTTGCCCGCCAGGTCTCTCTACTGGCTTTTGCTTCCCCACAACATGCTCAACAGCCATCAAGTACACTTCTACCTCCGCTCCGCTGAGCCATTCAGCAGGAAATCGCGGAGGTCGTCCCTGAATACCACCAGCCGCCTCCTGCATCTGTGCCACTCAGCTACGCCCAAGTTGTTGCAAGGCCGCCCCCACCGATTTCTGCAACTGTTTCCCTAAATTACACCGAAACCATCGCGAGGCCCCAGGCCTTTGGAGAAACGGTCTCGCCTACATACGCTGGCGTCACCCACGTGCCCCGAGTGCCGCCTATCATGCACTCATATCAGCAGCCGGCTCGCCAATCGCGTTCTGCGACATGGATGCGACCCGCAAACCAATGGCGCACTGTTGACAATCGCCCCATCTGCTTTGCTTGTGGTTGCATCGGTCATGTAGCACGCTATTGCAATCGTGTGCAGCAACCGCAGGTCGCCTCCAACTTTCCCAGCCAGTCAAGCCGCTCTTATGACCAACCGCCGCCTATGTCACCGTCGTCCCGCCCCGTTCCGTCTACCCGCCGTTCACCATCTCCACGACGTCGCTCACTGTCGCCAATGCGGCCACGTCCACTCGAGGGTGACCAGGAAAACTAGTCGTCGCAGTCCACGAGGCAAGGGCTGCGACGCTGTCGAACTGCGGAAGCCCTCAGGAAAGCCCGTCGAACGTGATAGACGTGCTTGTGGATGGCGTTCGTGCATATGCCCTTGTAGATACTGGAGCCGCCGTATCCGTGATGGACGAAAAACTTAGCCGATTACTGCGCAAAGTGACCACGCCGCTTTGTGGGCTCTCCCTCCGTACAGCCAGCGCTCAAAGTATTCACCCTACGGCGATGTGCACAGCCCGCCTTATGATTCAGGACGTGATGTATGCGGTCGAATTCATCATAATTTCTTCATGCTCTCACGACGTCATCCTAGGATGGGATTTTCTCTCCCGCCACGCCGCCGTCATTCATTGCGCACCAGCAGAAATAGAACTCACGCCATTCTCTTCTTTGACGCCGGCCGACAGTCCATCCGCTGCAAGCAAGTTACTCGTCAGAGACGACACTCAAGTGCCTGCAAACTCGTCCGTTGCGGTGTCGCTCTACTGCGCAAGCCTTTCTGACACCGCTGCACTCCTCTCGCCATCTCATCGTGTCTTCATAAAAAAAAGCTTGCTGGTTCCTTTCGCGACCGTGCAACTCACTCACGGCAGCACCACTATTTTCGTTGTGAACTCATCTCCGTACAGCATTACGTTGGTGCGAGGGGAATGTCTCGGCATCGTGGAACCCATCGAAGACGCGCAAGTTATGGATCAACCCGATGACATGCACTGCTCAAGTTCCTGTACGCTTGGTGCTGTTTCGACATCTGCTTCATCATCCGATGATATATTCGGTCCCTGCATACCAGACGACCTTACGCAGGGCCAGCGTTCCCAGCTTTTGGGCCTGTTGGAAGAATTCCGCTCTTCTTTCGATGTCGCTCAACCTTCCCTCGGCCGCACATCCACCGTTACGCATCGCATCGACACAGGCGCACAGCCACCGCTGCGGCAACGTCCATATCGCGTATTTCCCACAGAACGCCGTGTAATCAACGAGCAAGTCGACGGCATGCTTCGCCGCGATGTTATTCGCCCCTCTAGCAGCCCCTGGGCATCTCCTGTCGTTCTAGTCACGAAGAAGGACGGTTCTGTGCGGTTCTGTGTGGACTACCGACGCCTCAACAAGATCACTCGTAAGGACGTGTATCCACTACCGCGGGTAGATGACGCGATTGACAGCCTGCAAGGAGCAGAATTCTTTTCATCCCTCGATTTGCGCTCAGGGTACTGGCAAGTGCCTAGGGCTGAGGACGCTCGACCGAAGACCGCTTTTGTCACTCCCGTCGGCTTGTACGAGTTCAACGTTATGCCGTTTGGGCTGTGCAATGCGCCCGCCACCTTTGAGCGCATGATGGATACAGTTCTGCGTGACCTAAAATGGCACACGTGCCTGTGCTACCTCGATGACGTCGTCGTTTTCGCTCCTTACTTCTCGACGCATCTTCAACGCCTTCGGCATGTTTTAACGCGTCTGAGCAACGCCAGTCTGCAACTGAACCTAAAGAAGTGCCAATTTGCAGCTCGGCAGCTGACAATACTCGGCTACGTCGTGTCCAAGGACGGAATTCTCCCTGATCCAGCTAAGCTTCGCGCCGTGACCGAGTTCCCCAAGCCGACATCCGTCAAGGAACTGCGCAGTTTCGTAGGACTGTGTTCCTACTTTCGGCGCTTCATTCGAAACTTCGCGACTATCATATCGCCGCTGACGAAGCTTCTCGGAAGTAACGGGCCTCTCCATTCGTGGTCATCACAGTGCGATGACGCTTTCAGAACACTTCGTCGTTTGTTGACGTCCCCTCCCATACTCCGCCACTACGACCCTACGGCCCCTACAGAGGTACACACGGATGCCAGTGGTGTCGGCCTCAGCGCTGTCCTTGCGCAGCGCAAACCAGGGTTCCCGGAATATGTCGTGGCGTACGCGAGCCGTACGCTTACTAAAGCCGAGACTAATTACACAGTCACCGAGAAGGAATGTTTGGCAATCGTCTGGGCCCTTGCAAAGTTTCGACCTTATTTGTATAGTCGCTCATTTGATGTCGTCACCGACCACCACGCACTATGCTGGTTGTCGTCATTGAAAAATCCCTCAGGCCGTCTCGCCCGGTGGGCACTTCGCCTACAAGACTACGACATCCGCGTGCTGTACCGCAATGGAAGGCAACATGCTGACGCCGACGCCCTGTCGCGCTCTCCCTTGCCTGACGACAATGCCAACAACTCAGTGTCTCACCTCGCCATTTCTTCGATTAGCATTCATGCCACTGCTACTGAACAGCGCAAGGATCAATGGATTGCCTCACTGATAAACTTGCTGACTGATCCATTCACTCCATCCACTCGCGCGTTGCGTCGTCAAGCCCACCATTTCGCCGTTCGCGACGACCTCCTCCACCGACGCAATTACAACGGTGACGGCCGCCAGTGGCTACTAGTCATACCTCGCAGTCTGCGCTCTGACATATGCGAATTCTTTCATTCTGATCCGCAATGTGCGCACTCCGGGGTATCGAAGACTTACCACCGCATTCGCCAACGGTACTTTTGGCGCGGCATGTACCGCTACGTGCAGAAATTCGTTCGCTCCTGCATAGAATGTCAGCGCCGCAAGACTTCAACGCAACTGTCACCGGTAGGTCTGCAACCTCTACCTTGCCCTGCCAGGCCGTTTGGGCGCGTTGGCATCGATTTGTATGGGCCACTTCCACTAACGTCAGCTGGTAACCGCTGGGCCATTGTTGCTGTGGACCACCTCACGCGGTACGCCGAAACTGCCGCTCTCCCCGCGGCTACAGCGAGCGATGTGGCCTCCTTCCTGCTCCAACGATTCATGCTGCGACACGGTCCACCTCAGGAACTGCTCAGTGATCGAGGCCGCGTCTTCCTGTCTGAAGTCATCGAAGCCATTTTCAAAGAGTGCAACGTTGTTCACCGCAAAACTGCTGCTTACCACCCGCAGACTAATGGCCTCACGGAACGCTTCAACCGTACGCTCGGCGACATGCTTTCCAAGTACGTAACCGCCGATCACACAAATTGGGATGACATTCTACCCTTCGTCACCTACGCATATAACACCACCCCTCAAAGCACTACTGGCTTTTCACCTTTCTTTTTATTATATGGAAGGCACCCGTCGCACACCATCGACACTATACTTCCGTACAAGCCAGATCCGTCCGAGTGGGCGCCTATTTCTGCTACAGCCAAGCTTGCTGAAGAGTGTCGAGAGCTTGCAAGGACCTTTACAGCGCATGATCAAGAGCGGCAAAAAGTCATTCGCGCTGACGCCAGCACTACTGCGCCCACGTTCCTCCCTGGAGCGCTCGTCTCGCTCTCGATCCCTACTACTGCAACTGGCCTATCTTCAAAACTATTGCCTAAATACGAAGGCCCCTACCGTGTCGTCAAATGCACTTCCCCAGTCAACTACTTGATTGAACCCATCGAACCATCTTCGGACATGCGTCGTCGAGGACGTGACATTGTTAACGTGGAGCGCCTGAAGGCCTACCATGACCCGCTCATTGTAACCACCTGTTAGGTCGCCAGGCGGCTCCCTTTTTGTACCCGGGGTAGTTGTGGTAAAGCCTTTGAACAGTGGGTCATCCTCTTCAGCGCCTTCTAGTGGGTCGCCCTTTTCATAAGAAGAAGAGCAGCTCGCGCAGAGAGTCGATCCCCGCATTGACTGTCGCTGTCGTTAATCATCGCTGAGTGTCCGCCAATAAACCGCTTAACAATATATATATATATATATATATATATATATATATATATATATATATATATATATATATATATATATATCGCAGCATTTACTACGAACGCACCAGCGATGCCTCTTCGTGCCCTCCACTACTCATCTTGTTCTAACGCAGCTAGGATCGAATTTTATCCTAGGCGACGTTTTGGGATTCTGTTCTACTTCGTTTTACACGAGCGAATCTCAGGCTCCGAGTGAGATTCGCTCGTGTAAAATCCGAGTGAGACATTCATATATCGGCTGGAATGTCGCAACGGTATTCTGAATACTTTGATTGTTCCAATACCGATGGTAATTATAATTTACGTCAGTAGTATAGCATAGTGAGCAACTACTGGCACGTTCACTTGCAGACGTATTCGAGCCTTCCCTACGGACAACTTGCCTACCATCTGGCGACCAATCTTGCTGTTATAGCCAACCCGGTGTCGTGCTCCGTGGCCGCCTTACTTCCTCTTAAGAGCCTCGGAGGACTTGTGTTCATCACGGCAGGTGGGCTGGGTTGCGCGGCGTACATCCTGCTACTCGCCGTGCAGAGTCCGAACCCTATTCTGGTTGGAACGGCCGCTGGAGCAGCCATCATGGTGCGTACTGAGCTCCCTTGCCTTCTGGGTAAAAAGTTTCGATTCTCCGCATAAATAAAATACCTATCATTGGAGAAATTTTGCCTTCAGAATTCGTTAGTGCCTTAAATGCAATTTAAACCACATGGTTAAAGTATTACTGACATCCCTGTATTTCTATGCAGCACTGGTTCTTTGAATCGCACCGTGCAAAATTTTCTAGAGCGATAATCAACTGACTTCACTATAAAAGTTCATTCCCTCAGTAATCTCACTCCGCAAAATTTTTGCTGAATTCGTCGAGTGCGAGAGGACGTACTTGGATTTATTGACACACTTCGGACACTTCTCGTCTGCTTTGGGCCCGAAGAGCGGGCTGTAAGCTGGAAATGCAGTGTGAGCCAGGTGACCGAGTGACGCACATGGATTTTGAAATAGCATGTGTGTAGTGCTCTGCTCGGCGCCCAACATTAACGTAGCAGACTCTTACAAAAAGCTTACAGCCTACCTGCACAAATTCTGCACACCAGGAGTCACCCTAGATGCAGGATGCGTGCCGAGAATTGACAGACTTTCTGTCATCCGTGTATAATCTCAGTAGGCAAGTGGTACACTGGTTGCGCAGAAAGTCGGCAGGGCATTCGCTGCAAAGGACGTAGCATTAATGCAGAATGTCTGCGCGAAACCTGTAGAACGCCTACAAAATTTCGGCAGAATATGGCAGAGCTTTGTCGCGGATGAACGAATATCAATGGCTATCAGTTGCATTAGCACATAACGTCAAAACATGCAGCATCCAACGTTAGAATACGCCCCGTACATCCACCAACATGTGCCCACAACATACACACAGCCATGAAAATACCACCCACATATCCCCCTCACGCCTCACAAGCTATCGCTGACCACTCGGCACATAGGGCCGTGTTATCTTGACCTTCCATTCAGTGCTGGTACCAAAATTTCTATGCTTCAATTTTTTACCTTTACATCTTCCTAGAATGCATGCATATTATGGAGGACATTTACAAATAGCTTTGTTAATCTACATCTTCCTAATATGCAAAGACCTTCAAATTAGTCACTATTGAATACCAGCTGGTGGGCTGTCGCATAGGGATCCAGAAAGGCAGGAACCTTTCTGTAGAAATTCTGGCGGCTAGGTTGTATGGAAGTGGCTAACGGATGGTTGAAAGATGAAACTCGTGTAATCAGTGTCATGGTAAAAATAGATATATATGTATAATATATATACATCCACAACCCCCCCCACACATATATATATAAATAAATATATATATATATATATATATATATATATATATATATATATATATATATATATAGTGTGCTCAGATTTGGGTGCACGTTAAAGAACCCCAGGTGGTCTAAATTTCCGGAGCCCTCCACTACGGCGTCTCTCGTAATCATATAGTGGTTTTGGGACGTTAAACCCCACATATCAATCAATCAATATATATATATAAAACAAAATTTGAGTGTGAACACATGACACATTCACGCACACTGCTGAGTGTGTGTGTGCGTGATTGTGTCGTGTGTTAGCGCTAAAATGAATTTTTTGATATGTTTTACTAACTAACCCAGCAACAACTTTATATATATAAATATATGCGTAATTCGAAGGTCGTAGGTTCGATTCCTGCTCACAGTTGGTAATTTTTTCATCCACTTTTTTTTCATCCATTTTTCTTTCTTCTTATTTACATTCCATTGATTTTAATAACTTCCCCTGTACATTCCTTGGCATTACTGTCTGTTATATCTCATTAATATTGTGTTAAAACACGGAAAAACGAGCCCTTAGGTATACACTTGTTTCCCTTATATATATATATATATATATATATATATATATATATATATATATATATATATAGTCAAGTACAGCCTCCGTGAGTGGTTACAACGTGGTTTATTTCAACGTTTCGGCCTAGAGTCTGGCCTTACCCTAGGCCGAAACGTCGAAATAAACCACGTTGTTACCGCTCACGGAGGATCTACTTGACTATATGCAACGCTACGGCCACTCAACCACCATGCCTGCCTATATATATACACTATATTTTTTTATACATATATATATATATATATATATATATATATATATATATATATATATATATATATATATATATATATATATATATATATATATAGTATACACGTTATCAGACAACAAGACTGCTTGGCGTGTGCTTGGTGTCTGCAGAAAATAGTCAAGTCTAAAAGAAAGTGACTGGTAGGTGACACTCATGGGTGGTGACATAACAGTGAACGCCATTTTTGTTAAGCTAAAAATAGTTAGTTTACCATTACGGAGTTTTTGAAGAAGCCATGTGTATGAATTTTAGCTTTATATAACTTGAAATAAAAAGTACGGAAATATCATGATTTTGCTGTCACAAATACCATAGTATCCACGTTTGCCCCTTCGTCTACAAAGTCAGCCTTTTGTACGACAAATATTCTGGAGATTGAAGTGAGAGTTGGTAGTCATTTTTTACACGGAATCGTGCCGGCAGAAAGCAGCGAAGTTATATTTGGCGCACATTCTTTCAAGAGTGTTGAAAATATATCGGCAGTGTTTATTGGATATGTCGTGTAAGTGCTCCAGCCTTAAATGAGCATATCGCTCTTTGATAATCGCGAAAATAGCCAGTTATCTAGCATCAAATGTGAATCTTGCTAGCGTACATTCAGCGTCCCTCCAGAATGCCCGCGAAACTCAAAATAAGCTTGCGCCCCAGCGCGGCGAATCGCAAAAAGTTCCTGTGCGCCAAATATGAGCCAGATGTGTGTAAAGGTCATGCATGTTGGCATGACGACATAAATGTTGGCCCTCGAAACTTGAGAAAATTTCAAGACAGCTTCACAATAAATGAAAAAGAGGCTTCATGGAAAGCCACAGCAATTATTGAAAGGAGTCACAATATACACTTTCAAGTACTTCGCACCCTTAAAACACCATTTTTGCCTGACAGCAATTTGCAAAACTTGATAGTCTACTGGTGTTACGAAATTGAAAGTTCGGCAAGTTGGTGTTTATTCATTTTCGAAGAAAGCAGCACATAGAAAAAACAAAACAAAAAGCGTGGGAACACACGCATTGCTGTGTGGGTTCTCTCTAACTCCCACTTTTCTTTGTCTTCGTCTTTTCTGTGTCTTGTTTTCTGCAGAATTGCAAAGGTCTTCCGCTTCCCCAAATAGAGTTTACTCAAACTATTTAATTGCTAAGGGTGTTATAGGTTATCAAGACATCGGTGTCCTATACAAAGATGTGCCAGCTGGTTATTAAAACTAGGCATTGGGGTTGAATATTATACACATGTTTTGATTACCCCATGAGCGCGTTTGAGAGCCATAGGTTTGAAACTACATCATGAAGTTGCGTGTCTTCTTTGAATGCTTAATGCCTAAATATGCAGCACGGGACATGCGAACCAACACATTAGAGTGGCTTAAAATACCATGATGCTTGGAATAGGACATAGTTGGACGAGCACTCTGTCTCTTTGATGGTTTGCATGCCATGTGTGCAAAGTTGGCCAAGTATGTGCACCTTGGATGCTGATGTAATTTCATATGCTTTGAAGTACAGCCATAATTTTTCTGGTTTACAGTGCTAACTGTGTCTGCGCGTTTGTCAAACTCAAGCGATTTGGGAAAGTGCATTGTTTGGAGGGTTAAGGATGTTGTAAGGATCTGCGCGATAAGAGCCTGTGAGGTATATGAGCTGGTTTACTGTGTATACTTGTTCTCGGCGATGCGCAGATTTCTTCGTGGGTGCTGTTCGTGTCCCTGACGACGTTTGTCAAGTGTCGCCTGGCGGCGGGCACCATGGCGCATGGCGGTGCCCGCTCTCTCATGTGGTACGGTGTCGCCACCCAGGGCGGCTCCTTCATCGGTGCTATGCTGATGTTCGTGCTCACAAACTATACGCACATATTCAAATCTGCGTGACGGCTGTATCAACACGCTACGTGCTTTCGTACTGAATAGGCGGGACTATTTGGCGGGAACAATCTCTTCAACACGCAGCCCGCCACGCTGTAACTCCTTTCAGAGACACATAACGAGTTTTCTCTCTCTCTCTCTCTCTCTCTTTATATATATATATATATATATATATATATTATAATGCTGTTACAGTCCTAAATTTCTAATAGCGGAATGTTTTCTAGAAGAGCCAGCCTGTTGGTTGTGAAAAGATGACGCTTTTAGGTTCCTACTAATGTGTACACAAACAACAACGCAGAGAGCAAACAAACGTAAAGCAGTTGTAAGCTTGCGCATGCACTAATGACATCCGCTTTATTGTCCTTCATTTTTTGTGTAATAACGCTCTCAAGATTTCCACTGTTTTTTTCCATTCGGCTCCGTCTGTTTTTTACTTTTTTACATTTTATTTACTTTCACCTCAAAAGCCAGATCATATTATGAATATTAATGAATGTACAGCATTATGTGATTTTAAGGTCGTTCCCTGATGCCGACCCTTTAATCCGCGTCGAGAGCCCTCAGCTCCTACCAACTCCGTCTTTCCTTGTCAGTTTCTTTTTCTTATGTTTTAATGCGATAACAGTTATATGTACACTCCTGGCTAAATTTTGCCGTCAGCGCTGGCATCATCATCATTCACCCTATATATATATATATATATATATATATATATATATATATATATAGCTGCCGCAACCCAGATATATATATATATATGTGTGAAGAAGCAAGAAAAAGTTATTGCAGAAAAAGACTCCGGCGCGCGGAATGGAATGTCCAACCTCTTCTTTGTGAGTGCGAGGTGTTAGTCACAGAGCCACGAACGAGCGCCTGCTTCGGTTGGAACGGCAAGCTACTGATATCAACCACTTACCACTGGCGATCATGATCTCGAGGGAACTATCGTGTTTTCAACGTTAGCAGCGAGATTACGCATTGAGTGCGCGTCGCCAGACCGTCGCGTCGCGGTGGGGCGTTCTTTCATCTCCCACGCATACTTTTCCCCGCGCAGAGAGGGGCGGGATGAACGCTCACTCCTGCGCGTGTTTATCTCGCGGTGGGGAGTGTCTTACGTCTTGGGCTTTAAGCAGAATAATTCTGTTTTAGTTACGGCGTGCACAAAGGTCACTGCATTCGCTGCACAGTGTCCGTTTGCGAAAATAGCGCGCTTTTCAGACACAGCGAAGTAACGACTGAGACATTTATTCGCTTTCGTTTGTAGTTGTGAGTACCCTTCGTGCGTCATTCGTGCGTGAGAAGAGCGGGGGAAGTTTCGATCTGCTTACCCTTCTTCGCATGACCTTCCCAATTGTTGCTATCGCGTTCATTGCTTCGCCCTTGCGGCAAAGCCGTGACTTTTTTAACGCGATATTGATAGTCAACGGGTGCTAACCTCACCCCTCCACTCGTGTGTACTTCTCCCGTGGTTCTTAGTAATACCATTTCTTGAACATCCATTGAGGCTGTGCTCGTTGTCAAATTATGGCTCTCATAACTTCCACCATGAACGTTCGCTGTGCAAAATATGGGCTGCCATTAACTTTTCCTACTGATCTGGCTGACAATTTATTTTAACTTTGTGTTTTTAAGGCCTTTTTTTCTATTTATTTTCTTGTTTTGATCCTTTCCCCTAAATGTAAAGTAAAGGAATACGCTGTCATACTGTACATGTTGTTATTCATGTTCTTACGAATGGTCTGGCTCCGGCCGAGTCATCGATGAAATAAAGTTTTTCAGGAAAGCGCATGTACTTGTCACTTGCAGCGACACCAAGGCTACCTGTTCTACATGAGATGGTGAAACCCACAAAGATAGGTTATGCTGTTGATACATTATAGCCAATGAAAACAGCGTTGATTGATGAAGAAGACAAAAAAAGAAGAAACTGGGCACAGGTGCTTTATCATGTGTGTGTTTGCGTAGAATAGCTTCTATGTCCTGAGCCTTCATCTTGTGTCCTTGTTCAACCAGTGGTATTTTCTACCACCTACGAATGTGATCGGGAATCACACCTATCAGCGTGCAGAGAAAGAAGAAAAAAGAAAGTTTAATAAAAAGAAATATAAACCAATAAAGGGAGAAAGAATGCTCTCAAGGCATGTTGATCTTGGTGACAAAAATGGGCCCGTCGAACCGAGGCGTGGCGCATCTAGAGAGGCCCATCGCAGAGGGTATCGTCCCACAGTTCTTTGGTGTGGAAAAGGCGCAGGATGAGTGGAATGGGAGGGAATAATTTCGCGTTGCGCTCCACCACGAGCTGGAACGACGTTGGACAGCTGCCGCAACCCAGACGTACTGGTCAGAGTAGAACTTGTGTATGGAGAAGTTGAGAAAACTATGCGTTAATAGTACCACCTCCTCCTCCCGCAAAACGACGGTGGTGACAGATACACGATCTGACAAGCTCTGGTGTAGAGCGTAGTTATTATGTCTTGGTATGAAAGTGGAGGAGACACTTGATCTGGGCTCTCGGCCTAGCCATGCCGGGAAACTCGATCGACAATTGCTCGAGCCACCGTGTGAGCGCGGTGAGCACGTAAATGATCTTCTCGCTGGGAGTTCTCAATTTGAGGGGTTAGTGTGCATTCGATTGAGCCAAGGCTGACATACAAAACATTGACGTGTTGTTATGGCGCCTCATATATGCGCAAAAACCGCTTTTTAAATGACAATCGCACACCTATGAACGCTAAACCTGGAGCAATATTGGTGGGCGGATGGGGTTGGCCGAGTGGTGCCGTTTGAGGTATCGTTAGGGCGGACAAACAGACAGACAGACAGACAGACAGACAGACAGACAGACAGACCAAACTTTTTTGTCGAAGGTCCCTAAGAAAGACTATCGTCTCTAGAAAATTAACGAGTTTTTGAGTAGAAAAGCCTCCTTACGGAAGTCAACCTCAGTCTAAAGAGGCTCATGCATTGGAGAGTCGAAACCACCTGGTCTAACGAGGGGATGGCACATGGGCAGGTGCCCTCTCCCCTAACTTTTTGTAGCATAAAAGACACGAGAAGACATTTCAATATATCATCCCGCCCGGTCCCCATTCCAAATTAGGGAGGTGCCCCCCCACCCGCCAAAAAGTATCAATGGTGCGGCAATGGCGTTCTGGACTACAAAGATCCCCCAACGACGTACAACGGACTTACTTGAAACTTTTATTGGTGGAGGCGAAAGTATCTGCCACCGCACAGTAAACTGACCAGGCATTGAGGCTTAGACTCTTGCAGGTCGGGGTGAATCCCAGTCTCGCACTCTTGCCCAAGATATATCCAGAAATTCAGGCGTCAAACACATGCATGATGTGCTCAGATTTTGCAAGCTCAGATAACATGATCTGGCGGTTTCCTGCGTTACGGGTTGCAGAAGTCACATTGTCCAAAAGAAATGCTGCGCTGCGCATTCCTGATTTGAGGACACAACTGTGCCGGAGAGGATAGACTTATCTGTCCCGACGTGGGAGCTGCCCACTACACGTTATTTCACGCCCTTAAGCACATTACTATAGTGCGTTCATACCATACGCCCCTGCTTTTGGCGATGCGGGGTGGCCAGGCACAGAGGCGAAGGCTGGCTTAGAGGAAGCTATGCGCTGATGGCTTGTGGAGGCTCACCATGAAGGCGTGCGTTGAAGGCGGACTACGCCAAGGACCACGTGAATCCTGTAGCTCCAACTCGTAGACCGTGCTCCAGAACGTCGACTCTTGGGCCCAGTCAACGGATCGCGTCGATTGCTCAGCACCGTCTGCCCGTTATTTCTTTTCTCCACGCACGCGACCCTGAATCTCTCCACTTTCGCTTATCTTTGCATGCGCCCCAGCGTCTTGATCGTCGTAATCGAACACACACATTGCACCAGCGTATTACCACTCTTCCTGGTGCACCTAACTGCTGTCAATGAAATTAATGCTATATACCAAACAGACTACTTTGTGTAGAACTTATAATTTACGGCTACTTACGGAACACACGGTCTCTACAAAGCCTTCAAAATCAGTGTGATGGCACGTAGATATTTTGGCATATTACGCGATAGCGAATACTTATTGTTAGTTAGTTTTATTTTTTAACGCCGTCAAGATGTCCACTTGACAAGCATATGCACATAAAGCGCGATTGGCCCGGCGATTCAACCGTATGTACGTTATATACGGTTTCAAGGACTTTGTAAACCTATGCTGCAAAGGTATGCCATCGTAAAATTTGTATCGCGCTCATTCCACACAAAGTAATTCACAAATAGCGCCTTTGTGCTCACATGAATAGTGTATAAACAACAATAAGCAAAATAAAACCACGTGGCCTCTTTTTTTTATTTGATGTGTTCTTAGGCAGCAATAATGGCCACCAACTGCCTTTTCACGCAAATATCATTATGAAGTTTTAGTTTCGTATCATTCCTTGAGCAATTTGCCTCAGGAGAACAGATTTCTGGAGTATCTGCTATTTCTGTGCATGATGTCGATTTTAAGTGGGGTTTGAAAAAACCCTTGGTCTTCGCTGTTGTCTAATCTACCCTTTTGCACTACACGTCCCATAATGTCACTGATGTTTAATATTTCTAAAACCTAAATGAAATGAGCAACGCTCTTCATAAATAGCACCTGTTAGCAAGCACAAGTCACACTTCATAGACTCGCCTCAAACAGCATACGAAAACAGACACAGTTTGATTGATATATGCGCACCCGAAGCTCCCACTAATGTGACATTTCATTTCAAATGAGGGATCATTTTCTTTGAAAATGTTGACAACACATTGTTGTGCGACGATCTCGAAGGAACACTGCCAACAGTCTGAGGACTCATTAAGCCACAGGAAAAGAAAAGGCAGCCACACGGAAAGACAGTTTTTAGGGTCTTGGCGAATTCAAACGAGACCTGAAAACATAAACCACAATTGGTACCTTTCCGAACGTGTATGTACGTAGTCTGTGGCACCATCTGAGAAAACATCGCATTATATGGCTGAGAAAACATCGCTGAGACATTATCGCACCAGACAGTCATCCCCTGATGAAGGGACCGAGCGAGTCTCGAAACATTGCACCAGCTTTGTAGAAATTAAACTGAAAACTAAATATTACT